TATTTTTTATTTTATGTGTGCGTGTATTGCCTGCATGTAGGTAAGTGCACCCGTGTCATGCAATGCCCACGGAGGACAAAAGAGATTGTCGGATCCCCCGGAACTGGAGTTATGGACAGTTGTTAGCTGCCATGTGGGTGCTGGGATTCAAACCTAGGTCTTCTGCAAGAACAGTCAGTGTTCTTAACTGCTGAGCCATCTCTCCAGCCCCCAAGTTGTAATTTTTGTGTGTGGGGGGCTTGAGATTAAATCCAGGAGCTCATGTATGCTAAACCTACAATCTACCACTAAGAAAATCACTATTCCCACATATGTAATTTTCAAAAATTTATAAATGCAAATTCAAATAGAAAATTTTCAATGAAAATAGACATTTTTAGTAAAGAATGCTAAAACTATTAGATATCTGTATACAAGCCAAGCAAACAATACAAATGACTCTCCATTCACATTTTATGCCTCATACAAAATTTAATCAGTACAGATTATAGACCTAAACATAAAGCCTTTTTAAAAGATAAAACTTCAAGACACAGGCAGGACAACTTTTTTTTATAAAGAGCCACACTGCAAATATTGTAGATTTTGTGGATCTACATATTTTAGTTTCAATTCTTTTTATGATAACCCTAAGTATTAACCATTTCTCTCATTGATATGAAAAAAAAATACCTGACAAAAGAAATATAAAGACAGAAAGGATTAATTTGTTTCACAGTTCAAGAATACAGCTCAAAATGGAGGGGAAGTCATGGTAGCAAGGAGATAAGGCAACTGGAACATTGTGTCCACAGTCAGGGTGGAGAGAGAGGTACTGCTTGTGCTCAACTTCTTTTCTCCTTTTTATTCAGTCAGGGAACACAAGCCATTGGATAGTACCACCCATATTTAGGGTGGATATTTCTTACTACCTTAGTCTAATCTAGATAATCCCTTATATGCCACCTAGAGACTTGTATGTCTCTAGATCCCATCAAGCTTATATTATCATCTCACACACCTTATGAAAACATTCTCACCTCATACTATAAACATAGGTCTATGTCAAATTCAGCCCTTCTCAAATTCACAGGATAAAATTTTTGTGAGCATAACCCTCACAAAAACTTTTGAATAGAACACTAAAGGAATAATGCATAGAACGAAAAAATGCTAATTTGGACTTCAATAAAATAAAATGTCCTTTCATATCATGTATCTGACAAAGGGTCTGTAAGCAGAGGATATTCAGTCCCTTAAAACTCAACAATCAGAAAACAACTACAAAAATTTAAAGATATAACTGGAAAAATCAGCAAATATTTAAATAGATATTTCACCAAAAAGACATTTAAATGAAAAACAAACATATGTAAAATGTCTTTTGCAAAATGCAAGTTAAATCCAGAATGAAATAGACACAAAGCTATTAAAATTGGCTTTTTAAAAGAACAAGAAACCTGGCTGTATCAAGTGCTGCCAAGGATGCAGAATAACTAGAAGTTTCATATTTTGCTAGGTAGAACAAAAAATGGTAAAGCCACTTTGAGGACCAGTTCAAGCCCACATACAGGAAATGGAAATAAGCTTATTTCGCTTTGAAAAACATTGTGAGAGTGTCTTAGAAAGTATGATCTTTTTTTTTTTTTTTTTCCAGAGCTGGAAAGATGGCTTAGCCATTAAAAGTACGGACTGCTCTTTTTTTTTTTTCCCACAGCATTCTTTTTTAAAAAATGTTTGTGCATTTCATACAGAACAGCTCAAACAGTCTTAATCATCTTTGTCACCTCGTCCCCACTGGCACCCTCCCATATTCCCCCCACACTGGAGCCCATATACTCGGTCATCTCTATTAAGACCCACTGGATTGTCCACTGGAGCCCATATACTCTTTAATTCTTGTTAAGGCCCACTGGGTTGTCAGTGTCCCCCACTGTTCTCCAGTGCATGTCCGTCCACTAAGTCTAGTCAGCCTATATAGAGTCCCTTGTTTTGGGAAGATTAGCTCTTCTTCATCTAGAAGCAATCAATTGCCAACATTCCTTCAGATAAAATTGAGGTCTGCTGTTTATTGTCCCAGTTCTTTGCTGGGTTATTGTCTGCCTGTGTTTGCATGGGACTTGTGCATGGTGACAACATTGCCATAGGATAATGTACGCAGGCACCCAGGAGCTTGTAGGACTCTGTTTCCATGTGGTCCTGTGCCTCCTTCTTGGCTCTTACAATCTTTCTGCCCCCTCTTCCGTGATGGTCCCTGAGTCTTGAGTGGGAGAAGTTTAATAAAGGGATCCTGTCCAAGGACCAGCATTCAGCAACCTTTTGTGTTCCTGGCCCTCCACTGCATGTGGGTGCTTCATTATTGAGAACTGAGAGATTCGTTAGTGTCCTCTTCTTTATCCCTGTTCTTTTTTCCATGAGCCTTAGATGTAGAGGTTACATTGGAGATGTATCAATTAGGCCTGGGCAATTTATAGACAATGTCCATGTGTGACCAGTTCTGGAACTTGGTAATAGTCTCTGGTGCAAATTGAGCTTCTTTGGTGAGTGGTGACTGGGATACTTGTCTGTAAATATAAGGATACATATTTTTCACAGAGTAAGAAATCACATTAGCCTAGCAATGTGACAGATTGGGGTTTTCTCTAACACCTATGGCCACTCTGGCCATGTGTATTAGATTATGTTTACATTACTGAACTTGAGTATCCTTCCTTTGAGTGGGCATTTAGTCAAATTAGGCAGCTGTTGATTGCCCCCAAGATAAGAGTGCCACTACTGTACCAATGACATATGTTGTGCTGGCCATTGATGTGGTTATTTGGGCTAGAAACTGGTGCCGGATCATCCATTGATGTATTCCCTTGGCACTTTCATAGCATTCTCCAAAGCTATGAGAGCTTGCCTTCAGGGGAAGTGGCTTCCAGATCAGTTGCAGCTCTATTTCTCCAAATTCTGTGTCCGGTGTATGTTCTGTCTTTGGCAGTAGGGTCTTAACTTCAGGTTCTGGGAGGCCATCAAGGGCTTTGGCAATAGCCTGAATTATTTTGGAAGTCTCTTGGACCACCCTGACCAACAACTCAAAGGAAGGCATCTCCTGTCTGGCACCTTTTCTTGTTATGTAGCTTTTAGCCATACACAACAACCTACTGACAAATTATACATACATTATCTCTACATGAGTCCATGTGTATAGGTGAAGTATAGTTTTAACATAAGAAATAGCAATCTCATTTGTAGGTTTTAACTAAAGGAAAATATGAAGCCTCACATAGAAATCTGTATGTCAGTGTTCATAAAAAATTTTATTCATAATCACCAAGAATTGGAAGCAGCCCAAATGTCCATCAAACAGTGAAAAGACTCAAAAAATGCAATGTATTTATACAATGGAATTTCTGATTTGTGGTACTGGGAATCAAGTCCAGGAGTTCATGCATGCTATCTATACTCTATAGCTGAGATACAACTTGGCCTGACATATGTGTTTTTCACAAATTTACAAATGCAATTTCAATAGGAAAAATAAAGGTTTTCAACAAACAACACTAAAACAATTGGATATATGTATACAGAACAGAGATGAATTATCTCAAATGCATCATTTTAAGTGAATAAAGACATACACAAGAGGTTACATACTACATTACTGCATTGATGACATTGCAAAATAGAAAATATATGACACAAACTGAATCCATATTTGTGAGAAAATTTATATATGGGGAAGAATCAACTACAGCTGGGCGTGGGTTCTTTTGGATATAGATGGAACAGTTGCATTGATTTTAGTGGTGATTATATGATGGTATACACTTGTCAAAACTTATCCCAGTGTGTACCGAAAAGAGTGAATTTTTAAAATTTATTGTTATATTATATTCTTTTAGAATTTCGTACATGCATGCAATGTATGTTGATCATATCCATCCCTTACTCCTCCCTCTAACTCATCTCACATCTATCCCCCATCTCCCGATCCACTCTCAAATTTGTGTTCTTATTTTTTTTTTAATAATACACTGAGTCTAAATTGTGCTGCTCATGTTGTCAAGTGTGGGGTCATCCACTGGAGCCTGATACAGAGGCCACACTCTTCTAGAAAACCAATTCTCTCTTGCCCAGAAGTCATCAGTTGTCCACAGCTCTCCTCAGTTAGGGGTGGGGGCCTCCTGAACACCTTCCTACTCCATGCTAGAACGTTCACTGGCTTAATCTTATACAAGTCTTGTGCAGGCAACCACAGATGTTGTGAGTTCACGACTCTAGCAGTCTTGTCCTGTCCAGAAGACATTTTTTTTTTCTCTGCAGTCCCACTGACCTTTGTCTCACCTCTCCCTTAATTATGTCCTCAGTCAATTTCGAAACATGTAGATTTTGCAAAGGGGGAATGAGAGAAAATGTAGAGGGTGAAGTTTCTAATATCAAAACAGTTTAGCTAAGATGAGAGAGGCTTGAACATATTTTCAGTCATAACAACAATTTAATAAAAAGGAAGGTGATAAACATCTGCTTAACCTAGGTGTGGTGGCTCAGGCCTTTAATCCCAGGAGACAGAAGTAGATCTCTGTGAGATCAAGGCAAACCTGGTCTATAGAGCAAGTCCAGAACAGCTGGAGGCTACAGGGAAACCCTGTCTCAAAAAAAAAATCCAAAAATGTTATCCGTAAAATATAGGTGAAAACACTTTTAAGATTGTTTTTATTGAGTTTTTGTGTAGTTCATACAGAACTTCTCAATCAATGTTAATCATCTTTATACCCCCTTCCCCACTAACACCCTCCCACATTTTACTTATAAATAATTATTCAAGATGAGTTACACATAATAGGAAGGCGGAATTTATAATCTCTTGTTCTGTTTTGAGAGGTTATTGTAAGTGCTGAAGTTGACAGCTCATGTTACGTTAAATTGTAAGACTTTAACCATTTGTGAATTTGCTACTTTGGGATATTTATTCATACATTTCTTTCTGAGAAAAAAGCTGCCATTTTTAACATCTAAACTGTGTTTATTTTTTAAAGGTGATATTGGACCAAATGGGCAACCTGGCCCAATAGGGCCTCCAGGCCTGCCAGGATTCGGTGTTCAGGGTCCACCAGGACCACCAGGGACTCCAGGGCCAATAGGCCAGCCTGGTAAGATGACAGTAAATGTGCCTTTTATAGGATTCATCATGTCTATGGATGTAACACGTTTCCAGCAAACTGCTGAGGTAGTCTGTATACACATAATTTCATAAAAATGAAAAGTTATAGGTCACAGCAAAATAGCTATTTTAATCCCTGATATTTTTCTTCCTGTTCATCTAAAATTCATCTATTTATAATAACACAATTTGATAGTTACACAGTTACTATTACCATAGTATCATTGAGTAAGACATAGTTTTGGAAATATACCTCAAAATTTAATGCTGATTATTTCAGAGCAGAATAGCTCTAGTGAAGTAAGAGACAAGATTTTTATGTAGAAGTACTTCTCATTTTGTATCACAGAAGAACTTAAGTTAGGGTGCCACAAGAATACTCTCTAAAAATATATCATGTGCATTTCATTTACTTGTATTTAAAAGAATGAAGTCAATCCCGCCCCCCTTTTGCCCCTAGACGAGCAATGCCTTTGTAGCTAAGCACTTCAAGCTGTTTTGTTATTGGATACTCAGAAAGGTTTTGTCAATAGGTAGCCTAGCAGTTTTGACTCCATGGATAGGGAATCAATAACTTGTGTATGTTTATATATGCAGATTATGGATTCTGAGTTATCTCATGATACAAATTAATATTTTTAATCTAATTAGGTATAATAAGGGTCACCTTAAGGCCTGCATTATACTGTTTCAAAGTATGTATTAATTCATAAAATGAAAACAAACTGAGCATTGTAATGAATACATTACAATGCTGAATATAATTCCGGTGTTGTCCTGGTTTGTTTCTCCACTGCTGTGACAAAACACTCTGACCACTACCAACTTGGGGAGGAAAGGGTTTATTTATCTTACATCTCCTGGGTCACAGTTCATCCAGGAGCCCAAGGTAGGAACTCAGGGCAGGAATCTGGAGGCAGGAGCTGGAGCACAGGCCATGGAGGAATGTTGCTTACTGGCTTGCTCCCCTGGCCCCTGCTCAGCCTGCTTTCTTATGACACACAGACCCACCTGCCCAGGGGTGGCACCACCCACAGTGGTCTGGACCCTCCCACAACACACAACAATCAAGCAGATGCTCCACAGACATGGCCACAGGCCAGTTCAATGGAGGCAATTCCCCAACTGAGGCTCCCTCAACCCAGGTGGGTCAAGTTGACACTAAAGCGATCCAGCACAATTGACCCCTTCCAGCACAATTGACCCCTTGTCAACCTGACACACAAACACATCAATATTAAACCATAACCTTTCCAATTCTTATCCCCAAGATATGATGTTAACATTAATATCACAAAAATAAGACAGTACAAACTTAAAAGCCCCACAGTCCTTAAAAAACCCAAACGCTTAAAAGTTCCATCTCTTTTAAAAGTCTCTTAACTGTGGGTAAGCTTCTGTAAAATCCAAAACAACTACTGTCTTATTTCAAAGGGAAAAATCAGGCACACCTAAGCAAAACCAAAGTCCAGCAAAGTAGCTCAAGGCTGGACATCTGGGATTCACTCATGATCTTCTGGGCTCCAAAGGGTTCTGGCAGCTCCACTTCTGACTCTGCCGTCCATAGTACATACAGCTTGTCTCGAGGACCCAGACCAGCTCCATTCCATACTTACTGCTTTCCTTTATGGTCATCCCATGGTCCTGGTACCTCCATAAAGATGGGGTCTCCACTGAAACTGAGACTACACCTTCACCAATGCCCTCTTCTTGCCTCTGGGGTGCAAAGCCTCAGATTCTCTCCATGACCCCTTTAATCCTGGGGTCTTTACTGCAACTGAAGCTGCACTTTCACCTATGGCCTTTCCTCGCCTCTCACAGTGCCAAGCCTCAGCTGGTCTCTGTGACCCCTTCACGTTTTCAACACCAGAACCATGCAGGAGACTCTTACACATTACCAAGTCCTGCTTCCAGCTTGAAACAGAGGTGCAGGTCCCCTCTGTGTGCTGACCCTGAGGAAATACCTCCCAGAAGACTCCACCACAGTGATGCTGGTCTCTTGTTACTTACAGCTGATTTTTCAGCCCCAGCTAACCAGCACCAATTGTTCCAGTAAAGCAAAGGTTTTGCTTCAGGTTCTGGTCTTTTCTTAATCACAGCTGATTCTTCAGCCCCAGCCAACAAGAACCCACAGACTCTCAATCTAAAATCTCACACGAACAGCCCTGATAGTCTCTGCTTCCCTTTGAAGCTTCATAAGCCAGGTCTCTATCGTGTTCAACTCTTTCAGCATAACTTTTCCAAGCTCCACAGCAACAAACTCTGAGCATGCAATGGCCTTTCCAGCCCAAAGTTCCAAACACTTCAACAGTCCTCCCCAAAACACCAAGGTCAGGTCTGTCACAGCAATATCCCACTCTCTGGTGAAATTTCTGTCCTGGTTTGTTTCTTTATTGCTGCGACAAAACACTCTGACCACTGCCAACTTGGGGAGGAAAAGGTTTATTTGTCTTACATTTCCTGGGTCACAGTTTATCAGGGATCCCAAGGTGGAACTCAGGGCAGGAACTGGAGCACAGGCCATGGAGGAACACTCCTTACTAGCTTACTCCCTGGCCCATGCTCAGACTGCTTTCTTATGACACACAGGCCCACCTGCCCAGGGGTGGCACCACCCACGGTGAGCTGGGCCCTCCCACATCACACAACAATCAAGAAGATGCTCCACAGATATGGCCACAGGCTAGTTCATTGGAGGCAATTCCCCAACTGAGGCTTCATCAACCCAGGTGTGTCAAGTTGACACGAAAGCGCTCCAGCACAGGTGTACATATAATTATTTTGAGCACATAGAACTGTGTTTTACGACCTTAAATGAGAATAACTATATTGTTGGTCATTATGTTAAAGATCTGAAAACGTGGGCTAGATAGACAGATCATCAGTAAAGAACACTGGCTGCTTTTGCAGAAGACCCGGGTTGGAATCCCAGCATCTAAATGGTGGCTAGCAATCTTCTGGAACTTCAGTTCCATGAGATCTATACTTTCTTCTGAACTCTGTGGGCACTGCTGACACAGGTGCACTTAGGTCCATGCACGCATAACACAAATACACATAAAAATATAAGAAAGCCCATAATGGCTATTTTTATTTATGTACTATTTATAAAAATGATTATATGACACATTGTATGTTTTTATGTCCCCTCGCATGTCACTAATATTTGGAAAGTAAAAAAAAATAAAATAAAATAAAAGCAAACACTTGGAGCTATGCTTTGAACCATGATAAAACGTTGTGCCCAACCTTTGTAGCAGTAGTCTTGGAAAAAAGCCCATTTTTAGTTTTGAGCATTACAGGCTTCACCTGCTATTTCAAAAAAAAATAGATAAAATGAATTTATCACTTCTGTTGTATTTTATTGTTTCTTTGGTTTCCAAAAATTGCACAAGCTTATGGACGCATTTTGAATTCTGAAATCACAGTTGAGTGAAAATAAAATCATTAATCATATTTGAATATAAAAGAAATTTGTTCACACATTTCGTGTTTCTCAATTATAGCTAATAGTTCATAAATTTTTATTCATTTAATCATCTAACATCCTCTCTCTCCCTCTTTTACGCTCTTCCTCTGATAAAATACATCGATATATTTATTTAAAAATATACATAGCATCAGCACAATGCAAATTAATAAGCTTGAATTCATCTGCATATATTTCTTCTGTAAATATATGCTGTGCCATAGAATTCAAGATCTAAACTAATGGTATTTAGCAAGTAAATAAAATGTAACATGAAAATGTATTCAATGTACTCCTAATATATAAATGATTTTATGTCACATTTTTATCATGGATGGAACATATTTTATATAGTTATATATATTTTTAACTACTTATTTAACAACCACATACTTAGAAGCATTTCATTACAGCAGCACTGACATAGTCAACCAAAATTTCCAAAGATGCATCTCTTTCAAAATTAGCTCTAAATTTTTATGTTTACAGTTGAATTATTACAGTTATACAATATTGTACTCAGTATAAACCGTATAAGACATAACATTAAATGAGATCTTTAGAAAAGATTTCCATTTCATTACTAAAATACACAGTTTCATGCAGAAAAATTCAATTTTAACGCAATTGACAATAAGATGTTTGCACATACATCTCTAATCTCTAGATATCTGATTTTTACTAGTCACAGTCAATTACTTTCTGAGCTCCTTGGCATCTGAACATGGACATAAAGTTGTCAGGTAGATTTCAATGGTAATGTTTTTCACATCTACTAATTATTAAGGAGCAAATTTTTATGCTTTGAAGA